AATAAATATAAATGTACACAACGGTCCGCCTATAGACATAAAATATGTTCAGAATAGCCAGCATACTTAAAGCGCCACAGACAACAAGAAAACCACGCTGACTTACGTTAGGAAGATTCAGCATGATCTTCGCCAACAGCATATACTTGAGTCCACTCAAGGCCAGTTCGTGCTCGATGGAGTCGTAGTTCTCAAACGCTTCGTAGAAGTATGAATAGGCTGTTTTGAAGTCCTTCTCCTCTCCGTGCAAGACCCCCGACTGCAGATCCAGCGAACCCTGCAAGCTCGGAGGGCAGTAGATTGCATTCGCCGAAGTACGGGCGGACGTGAGTGCTGAACGCGCTTTAACCCCGTTTCGCAAGTGGTAGTATGCACGCGACTCTAACAGCTGAACCTCCACTAACAGAGCTTTATCGTCTAATCGCTTCAACTCTTTCACAAGCTTGTCTGTAAGTATGAGAGAGTCCGAGTACCGTTTGGCTTCCAACAACAACCCAATTAGACGCGATTCAAGCGCTTGGCGTAGGAATGAGCGCTTCTCTTCTACACACCACTTAATCGTATCTTCACACAGCGTCACAGCTTCGTCGCGTGACGCATCCTTCATATCCAATCGCTGTCCGACTACCTTCCTCAGCAGCTTTCCGGCTTTGGCCTTGGAAAGCAGTTTAAGGAAAGGCCTGATGCTCTCAATGAGATTCTTCAGTTCATTTGCCTGTCCATTTTTGGTGTATCGCGTGGCGAGTTCGTATATAGCGGACTCTGTCTGTGATATCTCTTCCTTACTATCGGATATGTTACTAGCATTGTTTACTATGGCCTTGAGCTCTTCTACTGATTTGGTAGTGGTATCATTGCTAGATGTACCGGAGTCTGTGGTATCTATCTCCATGCCTGTTCCTCCCAACATTGTATATCTAATCTTTATAGAGTATATCTTATGTCTAATCCCTATAATCTACAAATGTGCACTTTATTCTGTCTAAACGAGGATCAATGTGTACGATAAATACAATACACCGACGTATAATAGCTTCGATATTTACATCTATATCGACGTTTTGTTTATCTTTTCAATATTGCGCATTTGTGCTATATTGTATTTATCGCTGGCAGATTTGACGTCGCTTATTGTTGATTTTGAGTTGACGTATACTATTTTACATCATGTTTTTTACCCATAAACTGAGTTTTTCCATTAAAACATTTACCGGCGGTTTATAAACGAAATATGTATGTTATTTATTTTTATTCAAAAAAAAACAGTGTTATTTTCTATAATAAAAAGCCCAAAAAGTATTCGTCACCGACATCTCCAAGAAAGTGTAAACACTCCACAACCATTTCCACATATATATAAACATATATGTAGACATATAATTCCATACTTGTACATATGTAAATGTGGAGACATAGTCGGTGTGTTGAAATATTGGAATTCTCCAACATAATTAGCAATGTCGTCACCGAGCGTTTTAAGTAGAGCCGGGGACTCGCGGAAAGTGGTATGCGAGTGAGAATTTTGCTGACTCAGGAGCAATTATGTCTTTATTTTTGTGGTCTATGAGCAACACTCATTGAAGTTGTATATAGCTCTATTAAATAGGTATAGAGGCGTATATGTCCATATGCACTTTATGGCAATTATACATACTATACATACA